ATCACGATTGTAATGGCCAATTTTATGACAATAGAAACATTTTACATTATTCTGCTTCTTCCTAGACTATGATAGATTTCTAAATTTTTCTCTTTCTTTGAATTTCTATCAATGGATCGACTTCTATTACTATTAGAGGAATTATTATGACGATTGTTCACAAATAGACCCTCGCCCTATGCATCACTGTCCTTACCATTCAATTTATTATGCAACTGCTTAGAATTCATAGAAGATTTCACATCAACTAAGGAGATTGAGTCTCTCTCAAACAACATCGAATTAACAAAATTATCAAACGAATCAGGCAGTGAACATAAAACAATAAGGGCTTGATATTCATCCCCATTTTAATATCAATATTTTTCAACTTCATAATTATTTTGTTAAATTCATCAAGATGTTCATTAATGAGCGTACTTTCCTTCATCTTGAGTGTATACAACCGTTGCTTTAGATACAAATGGTTGGCGAAAGACTTCTTCATATACAAATTGTCCAACTTTTTCCATAGCCCTTCAGCTTTGTCTTCATTGACGACCTCACGAAGAACTTTATCAGTAAGAGACAACTTAATTTTTTTTTTCAAAACAAACAGAAAATTTTATTGAATCAATTCAAAGGAATTACAAGAATCAAAAGGGATACATTTCCAATTATTGGCTCTAATCCTTCAAAAATATTATATACAAGCAAATTTCAATCTTAAGAACCAAAACACAAATCACCAATCCTGCACAAGACCAAATTTTTTTTTTTTTTTTTAGAAAAGAGGAATTTTATGTAATGAAATCCAAATATTACAAGAATCAAAAACAGTAGCTGTTAAGCAAAACAGTAACTGTTTTAACAAACAAAAACAGTAAACTGTACAAAAAAAAACAGAAAAAAAATTCTGTTATCAGAAAAGATCCTGTACAACAACTATTTTTTGGCCCTGTCTAATCAAATCACCAAGCCTGCACAGGCCAAACTGAACAGTTTGCTTCACCCTTAGAACTGGCAACCTGTGTTGATCCTGCAACACCCACAATCTGCCAGACTTGGCAACGAATTCAGAGCAGCAAACTCAGAGGAACTACCATCCAACACAGCTTTTTTCCCCAAGAAATCAGCTACGAAATTCGCTTCCCTGAAAACATGACAGATCTCAAAATCCAGACCCTATAAGGCCTCCAAGATCTGGGACAAAATACTCCACAATCTCCAAGGTACTTCAATCTGCCCCAACACCATTTGAACCAAGATTTTTGAATCAGATTCAATCTGAATCTTTGCCTCCAAACCACATCTTCTAAAAAGCCTAATCCCATCCAACATGGCCAAACACTCAGCCCTCATATTAGATCCAATTCCTTAAAAATTGGCTCCTACAGAAAGAACTCCTCCATCCGAATTCCTTATAACCACTCCTCCTCCAGATTCACCAGGATTTCCTTTTGGTGCTCCATCAACATTTAACTTCACCACAGAACAAGGAGGCACCCAAGAAACCCACACTGCCCTGGTATGAACAGAAGCAGCAATCCTCACCCCCAGAATTTGCAATAATTCTCTACCTCCTGAACCTCCAACTTCTGTTTCAAGACATAAACTTGCCACTTAAGAGAAGACAAAATCTATTTGTAAACAGCATAGGCACTCAAAACACTCTCCTCATGCCTCCTTCTACACCTTTCCTTCCAAATGAAACGAAAAATTAGCATTGGAAGACCCCTTATCATCCCATGACTAACATTACGACTGCAGAAAACCTTGACAATCCTCTTTAGTCTAGTCATAGGAAGCTCACCAGAAACCAAATAGAAACCCATCAAATCAGCAAATTTCTTCCAAATAAACTCTGCAAACGAGCATCCCACAAAAAGATGCTCTAAAGTTTCCATTTCCTTACAACACATAATACACTGACTTACCAAGGGAATTCCTAGCCTCTCACGCATTCATCCATTGACAATGCACCCCTAAGAATCTTCCAAGACACCAATTGAGCACTTGGAGAGATATGCTGCCCCCAAATTACAGCAGCAACATCCACAGACCCTCCTCTGGATCGACATAAGTTCCATGCTGATTTTAGAGAAAAAGACCCCAAAGCAGAGTCCTTCCAAACCAGCCTATCAGACACATTAGACAATACCAAACCAGAATTTAACACCTCAGCTCTCAAATCCTGAGTTAAAACATCCCCCACATTCTGAGAAAGCCATTCATTAGTCAAAATCACCTCTGAAACCTTAGGAAAATGCAAAGCATACCCACAATCCTTTTTAATAAAGGACCAGACCCCAGCCAATTATCACACCAAAAATCTGTCTTCTCACCATTGCCAACAATCATCTGTGAATTCATAACCACCTCCTCAAACCAAGGATACAGATTACGAAAACATCTAGATGCTTTAAAACCAGAACTCCTAAGTAAATGTTTATACCCCAAAAATTTAGCCGCAAACACCTTTGACCAAAGAGAAGCACCTTTCAAAACCCCCCACACCTGCTTAATCCTGAATGTCTTCCGAATATCCCTCAACCTTCTCAAACCCAACCCTTCTTCTTGCTTAGGTAAACATACCTCCTCCCAAGACACCCACCACCTTCTCTTAACACCAGGGTTATTGGACCAAAGGAAAGATGCCATCAAAGAATCCAGCTTTACAGGATTCCTTTAGGCGTATTCAAACATGCAACCAAATGAACTGGCATTGAACACAAAACAGACGGAATCATCAGCACCCTCCCCATATTCGAAAGCAACTTTCCTTGTGTAGGGATTCCTTGGAATGACTGTCCCTACACAAAGAAATCCTAGAAGAGCAGATTAAAGAACTTTTCTGCTTACTAACCTTCTGCCCAGAGCACTTCTCATAGCAGTCTATAAAACACATAAGATTCTCCATGGATCTCTTATTTCCCCTTAAAAACAGTAGGGTATCATCTGCAAACAACAAATGACGCACCAGCACAGCCTCCCTCCCAATATGAAAAAGTTTAACTGTCCCTTCAGCATAAATCCTCTTCAAACCCCTGCTCAAGACTTCCTCTGCCAATATAAAGAGACGAGGGGAAATAGGGTCCCCTTGTCTTAAACCCCTAGATGAAGGGAAAAAACCATGTCTCTGCCCATTAAGGCACACAGAATAAAATTGGTTCCTCAAACAATTGTCAATAACACATACAAAATTTTGTGAAAAACCAAAACTATCAAGGACTTTTTTCAAAAAATCCCATTCCAATCTTGTGTAGGCCTTCATCATGTCTAATTTCAAAAGCACATTTCTAGCCTCCACCCTCCTGTCCAAATCTCCTACCATCAACTGTACCAAAGCAATGCACTCCCCAACATTCCTCCCTTGAACAAAGCCATGTTGTTCTTCTGACACCAAAACAGGCAGTAAGGATTTCAGCCTACAGTTTAACAACTTGGTAAAAATTTTATACAAAAAGTTGCACAAAATGATAGGCCTGAACTCAACAAAAGTGGTAGGGGATTCAACTTTGAGAATCAAAGCTAACAGAGTAGCATTCACTGCTCTAGGAACACTCCCTCCTCCAAGAAAAAAATTAACAGCCTTCAAAACATCTTCCTTAATGACCACCCATGCCACCTGAAAGAACTTCCCAGACAATCCATCAGCTCCTGGAGCACTCTCTGTTTTCATAGAAAAGATTACCCCCCTCACCTCATCCATAGAAGCAGCTACAAGTAATCTCTCATTATCACCTTCCGTAACTAGCTTAGGTATCAACGAGAACAAATCTTCTGAAAGAGCATGCTCCTCTGTTAAATAAAGCTCTGAAAAGAAATCCACAGCACCTTTTGCAATCTCAGCCTCCCTCATGAATCTATTCACCCCTATCATTCTTAATTCTTCTTACTTTATTCCTAACAACATTACTCTTGGCCAATGCATGAAAAAACTTTGTATTTCTTTCACCTTCCACCACCCATCTCACATTTGCTTTTTGTTTCCAATAAATTTCTTCCATCCTAAGAAGATTATCATACTCCTGTTTTACCCCTTCCAGAGCAGAAAGATTCTCAGAGGAAGTTTCCTGCTCCAGCCTCCTCTCTGCAATCTGTAAAGCCTCTTCCTTACTTTTTATCAAATCAAAAATATTTCCAAAAGTTTCCTTGTTCCAAATCATCAAATGCCATTTCAGATATTTAAGCTTCAAGAAAATATTCTCAATTGGATTAGCAGAATAATAACCACCCCATTTCGGAGCAACAAAAGGCAAAAAATCTGAATGCTCCACCCACATATCTTGAAAACGAAAAAAAAGAAATCCTCTGTTGCCTAGGAGTATCCATAATCTTGACCAAAAGTGGGCAGTGATCAGATCTACCCCTGGCCAAATGAACCACCTCCGTTTGATCAAACTTCAAATTCCACTCAGAGCTCATAAGAACTCTATCCAACCTTTGCCACATCCTTGTTCTATCTTGACGATTGTTACACCAAGTAAACCTATTCCCATTAAATCCACAATCTATCATACCACTAGGATCAAGGCAATCCCTGAACTCCTGCATAGCTAGAAAAGATGGAGGAGCACCCCCCAACCTTTCTGCAGAACTTACTATTGCATTAAAGTCTCCAAAGAGGAGCCATGGCACCTCAACTCTACCTGCTACATCCTGCAAATGCTGCCACAGAGGCCTCCTCATCACAGAATCACAAGTAGCATAAACAATCGAGACCCAGAAAACTTCTGATCCCATAAAAGAGACTTCAATAGTCATGGCCTGATCATGACACACTACTATCTTGGCATCAACTCTACCATTCCACAATACCCAGATGTTCATTTCTACCAACTCATTAAAACAAAAAGCACCAAAATCAATTTTTCTAGCAAACTCCTTTAATTTTGACGCCTGCATTTTTGGTTCCAATACATCAACCAAACTAACATCATGCAAACTAAGTAATTTCTTCAGTCTTCTGACTTTAACAGGTTTCCCTGCTCCTCTCATGTTCCATAGAATGAACTTAATCATAGATCCTCCATTGACAATGAATAATTTGTATCCACAGCATTTCGCCCACCACTTGAACTATCTTGATCAGAAAAATACCCCTTGTCAGGAGTCTTTTTCTGGCAAAGAATACCTCCATCATCATCTACAACAAACCTGTTTCCCTTCTTTTTAACAAAGCCATGCTCCAACAAAAATGAAGAACCCTTCGAAGGAGAACCATTAACAATACAAACAGGAGAAGAATTTTCAACACTCTTAACACTACAAACAGCCTCAATTTCACCATCACATACCTCAATCCCCTCTATACCACCATTCTTCACCAGATTATCTGGAAAAGAATGTGCTACAGAACCTACTTTTTTAGGATCCTCATCTAGAATCGCAGTGATAGGCCTCCCAGTGTTTCCATGCCTCTGAACTCCAAAAAACTCCTCGTACTCCTTAGTCAAAATGTCGTTCAATACTCCATATGTATTTTCATCTTCCCCATGCCTCCAGTCAAAATTCCCTCATTAGAAAGATTCTGATTACTTGTACCAATATCGGGCATGCCAACAGACCTTATTGGACTCTTGGCCTTCCCTATCTGAGAACCCCTATTTAAACCCTCAACCATTCTAGAAACAGATCTTATTTCATCTTCGACAAAAGTCTCAACAGCTTCAGGGATAAGATCCTTACAATAATTCATCCTCTCATGAAGATCCTTAAGTCCAGACAAATCCCTTCCTCCTATATTATCCACTACAGATCCATTCTCTATCTTCTGCTCTAACTGAGAATACTGAGCACCTCTCTGTTTGCTGCCACCCTACCTCTCCACTACTTTCCACCCAAAAGCATCATCCTTCACTTTCCCAACCTCACCCTCTACTACGGCCTTCCCCTTGTCAGGCAAAGGCTCTTTTGCCTTACCACTTGCTATCACTCCCTCCCCCTTCACTTTTTTCCTGCAATTCATCATGCCCCTGTTTTAAACAAGAAGAACAGTATTTAACATCCTTCTCATAAACAATTTTTTGCCATCTTCCAGTGCCTCCTCCCATATCTAACCAAAAACTCTTTGGATTCTTTGCCAACAAACTCACTTCCACACAGGCTCGTACCACGCCAGGCCTAGACAAATTCAATGTAGGAGAATCAATGACCAAAATGCGACCCACTGCACTAAGAATATCCCTCATACTTTTTGCATTAAACAAATGTATTGGCAATCCTGGCAAAGAAATCCATATAGGCACTACAGGTGGCTCAATCCCAGGTATAAACTCTGGGAACCACTTAAAAAATCGAAAGAGGTAACCCTCAATGTAGGTGGAATCCTTTAACCATGTTCTAACATAATCATCAAACAGCGCAAACCTAATCATAATATGTCTAGGATCCAAAATCCAACAGAAAACTCACCTTAGGTCTCCATCTAGTTGTAATAAACTCACGAATCACTCCCAATGATGGCCTCCCATAAGCGCACTTCCCAATTAAGGTCTGTTGAAACTTGGAAGACAGATCTAGAGTCTCTTTTGATGTCTAGTACATGCCTGGTTCACTGTTGTTATAAACCACTCTTTTTGCAGGCTTCGGATTAGGAACAGATGCGATCAAGACTTTGCTAAATCAGATTTCGGAATAGAAGATAATTTCACAGATTTAGGATTAGACACAAGAGAATTACAAGTTTGCATATTTTCTTGAATAGAATTTTGCTCAGTCAAGAGAACATGACCAATCGCTGAAACCCTAGTATTCGAAGGATCATGAGAAGTCAAAAGAATATGAGAATTCGAAGGAATATGAGTTGTCGAAAAAATCTGAGAAGTCAAAGGATTATTTGAAATCAAAGGAATATTAGAAGTCGAAGGATCATGAGAAACCGAAGGAATATAAGAAGTCGAAGGATTCTGAGAGACCGAAAGAATGTTCAAAGACAAAGATTGAGGAATCAAATTTTCTTGATTCACAAGAAGATTATAAGGAGGCATATCAACAGATTTCCGATTACCAGATTGATTCAGCGAAGTCGTAAGACCATTTCCTTCCCAAGATTTAAGCCAAAATTATCCAAAGAACTCACAGAAGCCAAAGTGTTCTTAAACAATGAAGCCAAATTCTTCTTAATATCAGGCGGTTTAGGCGGGATCTACTTCTGCAATTCATCAGAAGCCATGATCAATCCAAAAGGATTCAAAAGGCAACACAGAATTCAAGGAAATCAAGTGAATCGAGAAGAAATCAAAAGAATGAACAAAGAACTCAAACTAAAGTTGTTTGACAAAGTACCTGGAGGTAGAAGTCAGAGACAAATTGGTATCAGAAGTCAGAGATAACTGAATTGCTAGGTGTGTTTTATCTTCAATATCAACGACTTTAGTTTAATCTATCTCTTCAGATAAAGATCCATCAATGGCCTTTGTCAAACTTACTGATGAAACAATGCCTTCATTTTAATCTATTATAAATTTAAATTGTTCTGACCATCAAATTTTTCTATCTTGAATTTTGTTGTAACCATCCCAATACCAAAACTCTGATACCAATTTGTTATAAACTAAAACCACAAGCAAAATAATAATGCGACAAAATAGAAAAAATAGAACACACAACATTTATGTGGTTTGGCTCAACAAGCAAGCTACGCACACGAACAAAATACAGTGGCAAGATTTCACTATTCAAAGGTTGAAAATTACAAAGTTCTAGAAACAAAGACAAGAGAACATCCACACGCTCTATTCCAATAATATAGAAATTATTGGACAAACAAAATAGAGCAAAACCAAATTTTTTCTAATCGAAATTATCCTTGACGCCGTCGTTGGCAAGCCGTTTGGCCGAAATTCACCTTTATCTGAAAAAAAAAAAATTCCCTTAAAATTCTTGGAGCAATCAAAGCCCAATAAGGACAAAGAAACCTCTCCTAATTCCATTAGAATATTGATACCCAAGTTGCCTCCAAAAAGTGAAATCTTGCATAGGAATTGTTTCCAAAACAAACTTCTCCAAACAATTCTTTTTGAGTAATGGATTCTCCACATAAATTCTCCAAATAAGAAATTAAAATTAGACTTGGAATACAAGTAATTATGAACAAAATCAGTAATGAAATCTTATTTATAATTAAAATAGATTTGAAAACAAAAACTCCTAAATTTTAGAGTTTTATCATATTACAACTCTTTATCTCTATATATGTCTCGCTCTTGTCTCTCTCTAGGAAACATGGATACTCTTTAGGGGGTCGATGTGGCGGTGTGGGACACGTGTCCGACATGGATACGAGTGGGACAAGTGTCCGATACTTCCACAAGTGTCTTGAACAGTAAACAAGTATTTGTTATGGATGGATACGGTTCGGATACGGGAGTGATACGGAGGGATACGACCATAACCATGGATTTGAAACCAGAAAAAAGAGGAGGGGGAAGAAGACGATGTACCTGATCCACAACGACAGATCTCCTCCTCTTCGAGCAGGTATGTTGTCTTCATCTTTAGATCTCTTTTCGACCACTCTCTCTCTCTCTCTTGCCTGAACACTTTGCGATTTCTATCTTCCAATGGCTTACCCTAGTTGTTGAAAAGCAATAAAGCGATATTTTTTTATTTTTCTTTTTTTTTTTCAGCAAGGGCTTGTCTTAATTTACTTTTGAGCCCCTATTATTTCATTTTCTTTTTTTCTTTGCCCTAGTTGCTAAAATAATTTATAAGTAACCCTTGGACTTCTTATATTTAATATTAAATTACAATTATACGTTATTAGTTGTCACCCACTACCCAATTTGGTTTAATCCACTGTCCATAACATATTAGCCCACTAATCAAATTTAATATTAGTTCAGTTGTCCAATTATAAAATATTAATTAATTATTCAATTTTGTTATTAATGTTATTATATATAAAAAAATATACTATATTATTTTAATTTGTCGTATCCTAGCTATAACCGTGTTCTATATTTTAGAATTTTGTTGTATTCCTGTGTCTGTATCATATTAAGTACAACACTCGTGTTCGTATCCGTGTTTCCTAACTCTCTCTCTATATATAGAGAGAAAGTAAGAACTTTCTAGAGAAAAAGTAAGAACTTTAAGTGCTATATATATGTATACTAGTCATTGTCCATGCCTGAATGCACTATACCACAAACAAAAATATCTTAAACAATTGTCTAAATTCAAAAGAAATGACTTAAAAATATGCATACCAATTCTTCTTTTAAAATGATTCAAAATATATCTGATGGGGATCGTGTAGTAATTGGATAGATATTTTAGATTAATCATGAGAGTCATTTAGGGTTTTAATTTCTCTATATAAAGGGATGCATGTAATGGTTTTATTTAGATTAGACTTTGATTATTATTGACTACTGGTATTAAATACTGATATTGCTTCCTTCTCAAATTCTCTCTCTTTTCTCATTCCCTTCTTCTTCCCTTCTCATCCCTAATTCTTTCCCTTCCTAGTCTATTGATATTAGAGTTAATACGATCTACATCAATATCGTGGACCATATCCTCCATATTAATGAAACTATCATAAAAATATATAAAAACTCTTCAAAATAACCCCATATATACAAATATCCTCCATCTTCTTCAGATGATGATGATAATGAAGTAGCTTAAATGGTGGCTCTTTATGAGACAAATAATGCCACAATGATAGAAGAGTCAGAGACAACCCAACAAACATGGTGGTTCTATTTTAGGCCGAAGATTCATTTTCCGTGATAGGCAAAAAGGTCATGATCGATTATTCACCGATTATTTTGCTGAAAATCCCGTTTACCCCCCTTCAACATTTTGAAGGCGCTTTTGAATGACATGTGAGTTATTTATGCGTATCCTCAATGCTATTGAAACACATGATCCTTTTTTTTTTCAAAAAATAGATGTTTATCATGTTATTGGATTGTCCTCCCCTCAAAAAATGACTTCGTCAATTAGAATGCTCGCTTATGGAATGCCAGTGAATGTTGTGGATGATTACGCACGAATTGGAGAAAGTACCACAATATTAAGTTTTAAATATTTTTGTCGGTCAATTATTGAAATTTTTGGAGGTGAGTATCTCAGATCTCCAAGGGGAGATGATATTGCTAGGCTACTTTTTGTTGGAGAGGCTCGCGGGTTTTCGGGAATGTTGGGAAGTTTAGATTGTATGCATTGGGAATAGAAGAATTGTCCAACCGTTTGGCAAGACCAGTATTGCGGTCATGTGAAAAAACCTACTATAATTCTGGAAGCCATAGCATCTTATGACTTGTGGATTTGACATGCCTTTTTTGGAATGCCAGGATCTCACAACGATGTAAATGTCTTAGATCGCTCTCCTCTCTTTTCTGAACTTGTCCAAGGGCAAGCTCCTCCCGTTAATTACTCCATTAATGAGCATACCTACAATATGGGTTATTATCTAGCTAATGGTATATATCCTCCATGGGCGACATTGGTCCAGACCATTTCTTCTTCCCAAGGAGCCAAAAAACAACATTTTGCTATGATGCAGGAGTCAACGAGAAAAGATGTGGAACGAGCATTTGGGGTTCTCCAATCTCGATTTGCAATAGTACGTGGGCTAGCACAATTTTGGGATCTTGAAACACTTGTGGATATCATGAGGACATGTATTATTTTACACAATATGATTGTTGAAGATGAGCGAGATGAATATGGCGATTTTGAATATGAAACATCAATGCATAACTCATCCATAGTCATTTCACGAGAATATGACAATGACTTTGAATCCTACTTGGCCTGTCATGCAAGAATTAGAGATAAAAATGCTTACCATATCCTTCGAAATGACTTGATTGAACATCTATGGCAACGTCACAGAGAGATATGACTTTGAGCTTATGACAAAATGAAGATATTGTTTATTCATTAAGCATATATATTTTTTCTTTAATAGCCTATTGTCAGTCATTGCAAGCTACTTTCAATATATGGATATTTCTAGTTTTATTTCTCTTTTAACATGGATGTCTAGTGTTATTTCTCTTTAACATGCACATCAATAATACAAACAGTGATAAGTTTCAACCACAAGACAAACACAATCTAAAAGCAACAAACAAAAATCTTCATAGTTTAGAATCTTTTACAGTGTCCAACATAAACATGTGGCATTAAACAAAAATAACATGTCCATTGACATGATTTAAACAAAAATAACATGTTCATTGCAATAAACAAAAATAACCAACTCCAAGCCATGATTTAAAACCCATTCTCTCTATTTCGAGCAATGACTTGTCTTTGAAGATCTTCATAGTAGGATCTTTGCATAGTAGTTAAATTTGTCATGTCCATTGACATGATCTTTTGATCCTCATTTCTTTGTTCTTTGTCATTCATCATTGCTAACATTTGTAGTTGGGCCTCCTTACTCTTTGCCTTCCTCTCACGATCTGTTGCCTTTTGCTGATCTCGTTCAATAGCCCGAGAAGACAGACTAGCCAACACTTCAATAATTTTAGTTTGATTGACTGCTATATCATTAAGCCTACCATCATGAGTCACCTTCTTCCTTTGTGATTCTTTTGTAGCCTTACTACCATTTGGTCATTTTGGTCTTTCTTTTAAAGGTTGTGTTTCTATATCAGAGTCAAGAGATAACGGAGTAGTAGGAGTCGAAGAAATCGAAGGCGATGAAGTATGCACCATAGGTCTCTTGAAATGCGTTCTAAGTTCATCCCACTTACAACTATGGTACAATATTTCCCAACATGTCTCGAATGTTAAGTGTTTTTTTTGAATTGAATGATACATGCATTTAGCTTCAGTAGGCTGAAAAATAAAAAAATAAATCAAATATTAAACAATAAAATCGTAATTAACTTTAGTTTGAAAAAATTACCTTGTCTACTTCAACCATCCCACTTTGTTGCCTCATTTGAACTTGCTCTAGAAAACCAGAAAATTTATTCACTGCCTTTTGAATCAAAGCCCATCGGTGAGCTAAAGAAATGTT